CCCCAAAACCCCAAAACCCCAAAACCCCAAAACCCCTTCCGCCTAAAATATCAATAATTCTGCAATTAATAAATAGTTATTACAAAATGGGTAAAAAAGGTGGAAAAAGTAAAGGGAAACCTGTAGTTATGACTTAATAAGAGTTCTTTGCAACCACTTCAAACTTAACTGGACCATCATCATAAAAAGATCAATCTAAAAAGAGTGAAAAAGAGCCTGTTTGGGGAGATAAACCTATATTCAAGGGTAATTTAAGCAATCTTTTAACTGGTTTAGAGGAATAAAAGAGTGGAGCAAAAGTTATAGTCAAAGCGTAAGCTGAAGTAAAAGATTAACCCATTATTTAGCCGCAAATAAATGATACTATCAACACTTCATAGCAACAAACTCAATCAAATTCATCATAATTGTATCAGCAGATATAGCCACAGGCTTAATAGCTCTAAACTCAATTAGGGTAATTCCAATAAACACCTATGGGTAATCAGAATATGAACCAATATATGAATGGAGGAGCTTATGGGCAACAATATTAAATCTAATAGTAATACTAGCTGTCACCTGATTAAATCAAGCAATAGCAAGAGTCAATGAAATAGTACTAGCAAATATATGAAAAGATGTAAAAGGGCTAAAGAATAGGAAATATTGGAATGATGCCGTAGCCAGGAGTCCCTAATAAAGGGCCAGGCTCAATTCCAACTTTATACCCAAACTAATAATAGCTTTATCAATACTATCAATTGATGCAAACTCAACCTTAGATGATGCCAGGAACTTAAAATATGAATCAGTAAAGCCAGGCTTAATAAAAGTAACAACAACCTCAATAAAAGCCAAAAGAAGAAGTAAAAATTAATTCTTACGAAGATGCAATGAAGATGTTTGAGTAGAAAACTGAACAAGAGACTAAGTAAAAAACTAAATCATAGACTAAATAACAGTAATTAGAAAGCTAGGATTACGGAGATGAGTATGGAGAGGAATACTACAATGAAGATGGTTATAATCAGGAAGGAAATTTTATGGGGTAAAATGCAGGATTTGATATGGGAATAGGAATGAATCAGAATATGATGAGTGGAGGGTTCGACCCTAATATGATGATGAATATGGACCCTAATACATTAGGAATGATGCTTGGGTAGTTTGCTTAAAGTCAATAAATTTAAGCTTCACTTGATCCTAATTAGCTTGGATTACTAAACACTTTAATAAGTGGCCTATAGCAAACATAATATGATGCTGATGGAAATGAATTCTATATTGAAGAAGAGGGAGAGGATTATCCAGAAGAAGAGGATGTTATTATTTTGTCTGATGAGATGATTCCCAGAGAAATAGGGATGAAAAAGGGCACAAAGTTATTTAATGAGATTCCCAAGGACAAACTCGCTGAAATGAATAATGATGACGATATCATTGATTACTTCCTTAACAATCAAGAATAATTCAGAGTCTGTGAGTATTTCAAGAAAGGTAATTGTAAGTACACTGAGAAGTGCAAGTTTTACCATCCCAAAGAGGTCTCAAAGAATACCTAGGGCTAGGACTATGTAGTTGATGATGAATGCTGCATTTGCTTGGAAAAAGTCATTGCTAATGGCAAACAGTTTGGTGTTATGGATGGCTGCGATCATACTTTCTGTTTAGACTGTATTAGAGGCTGGAGAGCTACGTATGATAAGCGTGCAGGCAAACATCATTTCAGAACTTGTCCAATCTGTAGGCGAAACAGTTACGTAGTTATTCCATCCTCAAAGATGGTAAAGAGTGGACCTGAGAAGGATGACCTCATTAATGAATACAAGTCTGTTATCAAGGCGATTCCTTGTAAGCACTTCAACAAAGGTAAAGGAGCTTGTCCATTTAGAAACAGTTGCTTCTATGCGCATTAGTTGATGGATGGCACAGATTACGAATATCCTTGGAAGGATAACAAGATCAACGAGTATGGAGAGTGGGAAGACGACAGAGAGATCACCTTAGCTGACAGATTCGGAAACCTAAATATTTGAAAACCAAATTAATTTACTTTAATATTATTTAAGTACATTACTATTTTTAAATAATAATAAAGTGCAATTTGTAATGGACATAAATAGCTAAAACTTATATGGAAACGATTTCAATGATATTTTTAAACTTTAATAAACTAATGAGGCATTATCTTATGATGTGAAGAACATTTTGGAAAATAAGTAATGAATCGAGAATGAAAACTTCCTCATGAAGAAGGAGATTGAAAGAATTAGGGATTAGAATACGCTTTTGACTTAAAAGTTAAATGGCTCAAAGCCAAGTTAATAGTAATCAAGTTATCATATTGAAGCTTCCAACAAAAATAATTTGGAATAAGATACATATCATTCAAGAAATTCACCTGGGGATAATCAAAGTTTTAAGCTGAGTTTAAAGAAGGCATCTCAGAGTATTAACAAGACTATGGACTACTCAACTTAACCTTCCTCAGGAGTAGGATTAGGATTGCCCAACATTAATAATAGAACTCTAAATAGAGATAAAAGTATTGCCTCCTATTCAAATAGGTCACAGCTCTCTCATTTAATGGAAGGTAACACCGTCTCCATTAAGAATAGCAATCAAGTAGCCAATTCGAATATACTTCCTTCATTATATGGTGTTGAGGATTTCAATGTCTAGATAGTAAAGCTGTAGCATGAGATTAATTAGTGGAGGACTTAGAATACCGATCTTGAAAAGAAACTAAAGGACTCAGAGCATAAAAGACATGAGCATCTGAGGAAAAATCTTGAGCTGTAAAAGAAAATCCTAGATTTAGAAAATTAGATCAAACAACTCTAGCAAAGATTTAAAGATCTCATGCTTAAGAAGGCAAGCGGCATACTGAGAGAGTAGTTTTAAGAGCTAGAAATTTAGCATGCAGCTACACTTAAAGATTTGAAGATATTCAAGGACAAGGATGAAAAATTTTTACAAAGGATAGAGGCAGTGAAAATGGCTTTGAAATAGTAAAATGATAAATACAGAGAGGCAATGGAGCAGGAACGATAGTCTATGATTAAATAGATTGATAATTTTAAGTTATTCGTTGCAGAATTGAGAACTGAGGTAAAATTATTTGTCTTATTTTATTAGACTCAAGAGTAGAAAACAATAATATAAGAGTTGAGAATGCAAGTTTCCTCTCTAAATTAATAGCAATAGTATGCTTTATTTGTTTTAATGTGCTATTAGTTCTTAGTAACTTGAACTAGTTAATGATCATATGTAGGAAATGTAATATATTATCGATGAGTAAAAGCACAAGTATAACAACTCTTAGATATACGTCTCTAAGCTAGAAAGTTAGATTTCAGAGTAGAAAATTGAAATAGAAGTAGTTAAAAGACGAGCAGAGCAAGCTGAAAATGAACTTATAAATCTTAGGAAAATCAACTATCAAGATAAATTAGAAAAAAATCAATTGCATTCGTAGGTAGAGGAAAGTAGGTAAAGAGCACAAAATATGTAGAAATAGTACTTTGATGAAATAATCAAGTAAAGTAACTATAATTGATTTATTTCATAACTCCTCAAAATCTATCTATCCGAAGTAACTTGGGGTTTTTCTAATTTATCTTGATAGTTGA